TCGAAAATATAATAGTTGTACTATATGCATGAGTTATTTCCAGGAAATGTTGTACGCTGCAACGGGTATCACTGTTGAATGAATAAATATTCTTATGTGTCATCAGGAACCTCAACCGTTATTAGAATAAGGTACGTTGACATTACAAGTAAGTATCGTAGCTGACCATGCAACACTGCCCCGATCCATTTTCTAGCGACCCTTAGGGTCGCTAGTCGTGTACATATTAGGTTTCTGAGTGGAAACGCGGCGAAGCGGAGCAGTTGCTCATATGGACAAGCAATGAGCACTTGATGTGAAACAATAATTATAGTTCGAAGCAACCAGACTGTACGCATTAATGTCACTTACTGAGGTACTCAGATGGTTTCACTCGTCGTGTGTGCTCCAGCATTGTTTCCATCCGTTTCTGTGTCTCGCTAGCGTCATCCATGATTTCAGTATTGAGCTGCGGCTGCGACGTTTGCTAAGTCCAGATCCATTAGTCGTAAATTTAGCTGATGCTTTCCTTAAGCACGTTTTGCTTTGCGAGGGATTCATTGCAGAGTTCTTAGTGTTCATCTGCCGTCCGTCTCTCTCGTTATATAACCAGCTCGTTGTTTGTTCTAGCGTTTTCTATGGATTGCGAACACAAAACATTAATCTCATATATAAACTGCAAAGTCCGACGAGATGTTAAATGCGTCGGTTGTACGAAATATCGCTCCAGCGCTCGGCTTGGTTGCTCAGAGAGCCTTCGATGTAGTCATAGCTTCAGGCCACGTCGCCCGTAATATAAATAATACGTCTCAGCGAATGGGAAACTTTTCTCATTTCCTGATTCTCGCAAAATTCTCCACTAGCTTCACACTCCTATCCGCTCCCACTTCGTTTAGTTTCTTCAGTGGAAAAACGAAAGTTCGAGGAATCTCCCATTGTCTCGTATACGTCCCTTTCCACCAGTGATTTCATCACGCTTTGCAGGGCGGCCATAGACAGCTTTGTCACATCGAACTCCCTTTGAGATTAGTGTTCTAAGGGGGCTATGGAAAAGCTGTACCGTGATAAGTAGTTCTTGAGCAGACGGCCAACGTCTCCTAGATGAGTCCTTCACTCAGTCGAAGAGCGCTGACAATACGCATTAGTCGTGACGCTGACAAACGCTCTCTCATGGTCGACGAAAGTATGACGAAGGGCACGTGATACGTTCGCCACCTCGATAATCTTCGAAACTGAATATGATCCAGAAGTTGGGCTGTATCCAGTATCCTTCATGTGCGAGTGAGAATAATCTTTGTGAAGAACATGTAAAGCACTTTCCGCAGGCATATTGAAGTATTGTTCCGAAGGTTCTCCCTCTGGACCTTCTTATGAAGGGGGATTGTTCGCGAGTTCTCCACTGGTCGGAGATCCTTTGCTTTGAAGGTAAAGCATTAGGTGAACTCGTGCAGGCAATGTTCTCTTTCTTGAAAGAGATCGGCAGAAAGCGGCCCGGTACTGAAGCTGCGGGCTGCTCTCATGGTCTGGATTGTGGCGCATAATTCTGTCATGAAGTAGGGATAACGTGGTTTGACACGACTGTTGATGAACAGGATAGGTTGGTATAGAATTTTTTCGTGATCGATTCCATCTTCTGTCGGGAAGATGTGCGAGGCCCGCCTTCGCTTAATAATGTTGTCAGCGGAATAAGGTAGTCAAAAAGGTTCCCGGCGGTACTTTTTAAAGCCCTCTTTCCTTGTGCTGCTTCCAAAAGTTTCGAATGCCTACACTTTGAAAAATCTTCTTGCACTGCGGTTCTGCAACTTGTTGGCTATCAGTAGGTCGCGATGTCAAGTTGAATCTAGCCTCATTGCTCTCTTTTCAAGCAGATCCTTAACAGTTTTTGAAAATCGTTTTCTACGCTCATTGTTCGAAGCATTAAGGCACTTTCACCACAAGCTTCGAGTCCTATTGGGTCCTCAGAGGCCAGTCACAAAGGGTCAGAAACACCTGCAGTGTGACGCCAATATGACTTCTCTCCTTCCTTCAATACGACAAATATTCTTTTCCAGCTTTCTTCTGAATCGCACTCTTGCTCGAAGGGGACGGTGTTATGAAGCACTGCTGATGATGATATTACTAAGACGTCCAGTAACCACCATCTCAGGTCGGTCCATGAGTACGGTTGACTTCTATGTCCATTGCCGCTGTTCTTTCATCGTGGAGAGTTGCCAGGAAAAATTGTGCGGCAGATAAGAGCTCCCCAAAACGATTACCATATTCACTTCAATGTTCCGAACCAAATCTATCGGTCCAATCCCCTTCTTCTGACATCCCAATCTTCGCATTGATCACCCCCGACGGATATGTAGAAGGGATTTTTTTCGCGGACTTCTTCCTCCAAATCCTCATAAAATACATCCAATCATGAACATTGGATGTTGCAGTAGCAATAGATGATAGTGACGGTTTTCTGACACAGGGGACGGGATCGAAGGGTAGCCAGGCGAGTTTAGGATCGCATGCGAATTGACATGGGTGTAAAACGAATCGAACGCCTCCGGCATTCCATGAGAAACTTTCTCACCAGGGTGATGAGTGGGCCATCACTCAGCTGCCTCCCTAAACCGTCTCCCTAAACTTTACTTCCGCACGGCAATTAGTGGTAGATGATGTGCAATGCAGTTCAACAAAAGGTGAAGATCGGCGTTTATGGAGGCTGTTCTAGCATTGTAGGTGCACAGCATGAGACAATTTTTATGGTGATTGACGTGTCCTTTAGTAAAAAATCTATGCTGCACTGTGCAGATGAAATGCTGCGTGCGGGGTTTTTTCTTTTACCTGCTGCAAGCAGTAGTTTTTGCCCGACATTAGAGCCTTGCCGGTGCGTACCAAGCTTTCAGTATAGGTAATCGCTGGCTTGTGGAACAGAGGACCGAGTAGCAAC